CTAATTTAAATGTACTACTACTGCGTAATCCTTAAGAGCCAGTTCCCTTGGAATAATTATTAAAAATAAAAAGAAACTCAAACTCATTACTTAGGCTGTGTACTGTCCAATATGCAACAAACAAGAATGAAACTTTTTTTTTTCATTATCATTTGAACTTATGTTGACTGGCCTTACAAGTAGGACAGCTTGTCCGATAGGTGAACACTCTGCTTCGTAGAAAAATCCCAAAGTTAACTACTTTCTGTGTCACTCGGGTGGTCAAAAATACATTTACAGGGACCACAGAGATTAGAAAAGCTATTTACTGGGAAACTTGTCTTCTACGAATTGAGACAGATCATCCATTTTAAAGGGAGCAAGGAAGCAGGGAGAACAAAGTCAATGGAAGTTGTTCCATTTCATCCTATTGAGCCTGCAGTGAATAATGTTGATCTTGGAAATATTAGCAGGCTCCTCTAAAATATCAAAGTTATGGTAAATAGATGATAACTTATAGTTTTTAAAGAGATTGAAATTGTCTAAAATATAAATTAGTAGGTCTAAACTTTACAAAATATAGAGATAAAAAAAATTAGGCACTAAGTTAGAATTGGTGCACCCTAAATTTAACAAACCAAATCTTCTTTTATCAATAGTTTGATATGATTTCTCTTGGCATACTCCATAAGGGCTCTGATGAACAGAGAAAAAACTGGATAAAAAGGAGAAACTGCACCAAGCAATGGGTAAAAGTAAACTGATGGAGAGACATATCGGGCTCAACAGTATATGAAGAATCACTTTGTCATCATGTTGCATCAACATTACATTACCTGTAGCCACCTGAGCTGATGTTACCTCAGATGTACAGTTACCCACCAAATAAATGCAACATTCCTAACTCTCAGTAAGGCTCTCAGCCATATTTGGACCAGAACCAGACATTGAGAAACTTAATCCACTGTAATTAGACAAGTAAGCATTGCATCATTTTAGGTCAAAAGTGGAAAGTGGTGAGAATCTGGTTTGCACAGGTCCATATTTACAGAGTGGAAGAAGAGGAGGGACTAGGGTACACCACAAGGTTTTTCATCCTGGCAAAGATTTAATCTGTTAGAAACAGAATATCACTAAATATGCTCATTTAATAGTTAGACCGAGTTGCCAAACAAACACACACAAACAGAAACAGTCTTAGGCTGCAACACCTCGTGGAATATGAACGTCTGCTAAATTAAAGCCTGCTTATGCAACAGTGTCAATACTTAAACTTGAAAAAAGTCAGATAAAATAACACTTCCCAACATGCCCGGATTGACAGTGATGCAAAGCATTCTGGTACCTAAGGTGTCATTGCTTCACATTTAAATCCAGCCAGATCCAGTGACATGAACTGTGCTGTGGATTGGGTTAATGGTGTCATGACATCAGTGAGGGAGTATTAACAGCGTATAAGCCCAGCCTAACCAGTGCTGAATGACCGCTGGCTGACGCGAGGCCTGATGGAATGCTGCCTGTAGCATGACCAGGAGCTCATATGCCCCAAGTAGAAGCTAAAATGAGCTGCTAAACGTTTGGATACTCAGGATTTTGCACACACTGTACAAGCAGAAGACAGCATCTGGTTCCAAAACCAAGGGTTTGACTGTCTGAAGCGAAGGCAATCAGAGTAAACGTTATTGTATAATTACTTGCAATTGCAGTACTCATCAGCCTTCTGGAAGCCAACAATCGTGCAAAGTTCCTGCCCCATCATGCCTTTGCTTAACATGGACTTGAAAGAGCAGAATGGTGAAAGAAATCACAGCTCCATTGGTTGGTTGCCATGTGCACGGTGATATGACCACAGAACACAATTCAAGAAAACAGAAAATAATTATATCAAAGGATTATACTGAATATTTTATATCTGGGCTGACTCCAGTTGGGATACACTTAAAGTTGAGAATCCCAGCCTGTAAAATTTTGACTATTTGCAAAAAGGCAAATAGTATAAGTAGTTTAGTTTTCAATTATGAAGAATAGGATACCATGAGAATAACCTAATGGCTAAACGCAAGTACTGCATGCCAAGTAGTCAACACTCTGAAGTAGCTGCAGCAGCATCAAGGTGTGAAGGCTGTCTGTCGCTGCTCACAATTAAGATGCTTTCATCACTTTAAAATTGAGGTTTTTAAAAAGTTGCATAAATCATTGCAGTTAGTCATTATCAAATCCATCCAGGAAACAATACCAGTCCATCAGAGGGCATAATCTATTAATTAAAACAGCAACTCATTTCATAATTTATCAAAATTTGGTTTAAATAATTCTGAATGTTTGCTATTCTTTCATGTCTTGCATGCTAAGGTTTTCAAACATATTTCCCAAACTTCAGTGGACTGAGAAGGTAAATAAACAATGACTGTTTTCGGTTATTAATATGTACCCTGAGTAATTACTATGGGGCAAAAAGCATAAATAAATTAACCACAAAACATTTGAAGCTCTGGCTCAAGTTTAAAATCACTACTTTTCTAACTTCTAAGGTAAACAGGAGAGTTTACCTGTGAGTTTATTTATTCATTCAGGAATGTGTAAAATAATAAAACAGATTATATGAGCTGTACAAGATTTCGTGTTAGTTTTCATCAGTGGTCCTTGTGGCAGGTAAAACCTTAAGAATGTGGTGCTTTGGAAATATAAGACAGAGTGAGCTTAGAGCTTAAAACAAGGCACAAGCAGGAGATTGGTCTTGAAGGTATTTACAAGCAGTGGTACAAATAGTAAAACATTAATTATGGGATTTTTCTTCATTAAGTCACTTTACTCATATTAAAGATTTGAATTTATTAACATTTTATCTGTATTTAAATTTACCAACTATGTAGTATTGCATTAATGTGTGTATTGCAACACACATTACTACTATGTAGTGTAATGCATCACTACAGAGTACTGCATAGTGTACTGTAGTGTACTACTGCTATGCTATCTTGGTAGTGTGACTACTTTGGGGTTTTTGGGGAGGGGTATTTTGTTGCTGTTACCAGTTTCTGCTACTAGGCGTCCCCACATCCTACACAGTGGACTGTCTTTCATCTTTTCCTTCCCTCTTCTGGTTTCATTTGTTACTGGGGTGTAATTTGGACCAGTGACTGCATCAGTGCTGCATGAGATTTGCTGCAATACGCTTTTAAAACAGACCAAATAAAAGGGAAGTGTGCAAGTTGAAGATTGATATGGCAATGCGATTTCAGCCGTACGTGTTAACATATAGTATGAAGTGATGTTTCCAAAAGTTTTTTATGGAACGATGACTTCCAACATGACTGCCTTGAAATAAAATAGTAATAGTTACAGTAACACTGATGCTAAATAAGCTCATTTTTATATATCCGCGCATATATAAATTGCCACACTGCGAACCCTAGGTCACAAAAAAAAGGCCCTTTTGAAATCATTCTCATAAAACTTTCAGTCATGGTCAGAAATGTGTGCAGTTGCATAGATCCAAAGGACTTTCTGGATATATTTTGTAGGAAAATGTATTTCAATTGTCAGGCCTTCATGCTCTGCATGTCAGTAATATATCTCATCAACTGAATAGAGTCTTAACTGTCCTCTTACCCCACGTCTGATATATTGTCAGTAGCTGGGATGATAAGTCTCACAAAGTGTTGCAGTTACTCTCCTGATATTGTGCATCCTTGTTTCAGTTTTCACCATACAGAGCAAATGTTCCGGAGTTTTCAAAAATGTTAGATCTAAAGTTTCTTTCATTTTTTTGTTTGGTTGTTTTGTTCATGCATGCATGTGTGTGTGCCTGTGTGTGTGAGAAGGGGGCAAGATGAGAGGTTAAAGGGGGGTTAAATGGAATTTTTACTTAGCTGCACCTATGGCGATAACATTTTGAAAAGGCAAATAGGATCTCCCATAATGCATTCTGAAAAGGAGTCAACTGCATAAATTTGCAAATGGGTAACAGACTACTTAATATAGACTAGCTTAAAAAGGGACATGTATGACTACAAAAAAACAACCTATTGAAATTCAAATTCACTCCAGATTACACAATCTGGAGTGATTGATTGATTGAGTGAGTGATTTTTTACTTCAACAACCCAGCAGTTGCAAGATCTGCAGGAGAAAAAGAAATGGGGGGGGGGGGGGGGAGGGTAGAAATCAAAACAAAAAAAATGTCCACAAACCCAAGACTATAAATATCCTAGAGATAAGAGATGTTTCCAAAATGCAGCTTCTTCCATAGATTCTTACACAGATCGGATCGGATCGCCTGGAACCATCACATGGACCTCATGGGAATCCCCGGAGTCGACTTTGGGAACCACTGCAGTGAAACCACTGGAGTGTCTCTGGGAAAATGCCTCTTTCTCTCCCCCCGTTCCAAAGCCTAAAGAAAATGCTACCCAAAGGAAAACAGCGATAAGGCGAGAATAGTGAAACTCCTTCAGAACTGAGGTGCTGGGCCGGGGAGAGTGGCGGGATGGGGCGGGGTGGGATGAGGAGGGGGTGCTGGTGCAGCGTGGCTGTCCACAGAATCCCGCTGGATGGGTCACTGTGTTCTGAACTGTAAACAAGGATCAAAACCCCGCGCCCACTGGAACACCGGGATCAGAGTCGGAGGGCTGTTTGGAAAGCGCGCATGAGACTCGGCAGTTCATCGGCACGTTTCGAGACACCGGAACAGGCTGAGGTGTCTCCAGTGGAAGATCCCCACTGGTGGGGCTGCAACCAGTCCACTCCGATGAATCAACTTGGTTCAAAGTTCAATGACTGCTTGTTGGCTGATGTCAAGAGAGAGGCAGCGGGCTCTCACTGAGCGGTTACGCAAAGTGCGCACACGAGTTCCCGAACAACGCGTGTCATCATAGCGGCACATTCAACTTTTCCTCAGTGTACTAAGGCACCACTTTCGTTTTTGTCCTGCATCCACTGACACACACACGCACACGCACGGCCACGCACGCACACCAGTGCGAAACATAATACGTGTTTATCCGGCAACGTGCGCTCACCTTGAAGCCAGATCAGACCAGGACGGCTCCGATCCTCGTGGGACAACAACGTCCAGGCAGGGTGAAGATGAAGGGGACGATCTGCGGAGCTCGATCAGGCCACGTTGGTCAACATACCCAGACTGGACAGATAGACAGAAGCAGCGGGACGAGGAGGAGGAGGAGAGGAAAGGAAAGGGAGGTAGGAGGAGGAAAGGAGAGAAAACAGCGGTAGCAAAGATTGCCGGGCAGCTCATCTCCTGCAGCGGAGGGAGGAGGACACACGCACGTACACGCACCCAAACATACAGGAGCGCAGACGGAGCTCCTCCTACTTATGCACAGGCCGCTCCCACATGAAAACGGTTCAATAATGAGGCGGTTGAGTCTTGCGAGGAGAGGAGTGCTTCCCTGCCTCAGCTAAAGGAAAGCGTCCACTTTTCACTTTCAGCCTGATATTTACACCTCCGTCTTTCAGGTTTGATCAGAAGGATGATGTCGTCCGGGAAATACCCAGAGTCAGACTTCTGCCACGCACAGTGCTTCACATTTCTTCTTTGGCGCGTTTGTTTACCGCAAACAAGACTTGAACATATGTTTTTTTTTTTTTTTTTTTTTTTTTTTTCCAACAAAGGCCTTATTTCTGTCCTCTCTTCTGTAGAGACCATGTTTGTGAAACAACACGAGTTGTGTCTCTCTGCAGCTTCCCATGTTAAGATTGTTATGACTTTTCCTTTCAGAAATATGTTAGAGATTTTGTTAAAAAAATAAATAAACGAAATAACTTGCAACATTTTATATTTATTTTATGATTAGAACTTTGGTTGGTCTTTCATGTTGTATCCCACATGATAAGTTTGTGATTCATAAAGTAACAAATTGTGAACGGGTTTAAAGACAGGTCCCCAGTCTGTCACAGGGTGACACAGAGACAGTCAGGGCAAACACCCATGCACACACGCACTCACACCTACAGATAATTTAGAGACCAATTTATCTGACAGTCATGTTTTGGGCTGTGGGAGGAAGCTGGAGTACCCAGAGAGAACTTAGATGCCAATAAGATGTTTTCTAGATTTGGAAAAGCTACAATTTTACCATTTGTTGTTTCTTCTCTCCCATTAATCTGTGCTTTGTGTCACTTTTAAAACAGTATAAGTACATTGGATAAAAACTGCAATTAAAGGACCATGTTGTGTATCTTTTGCACTATTTGCAAATGAGTGATTATAAACAACTAGATAATTAATGATCTTATATATACTTGAAGCAGAGCGGAGTGTCTGATACTCCAGAAGGTCAGGGCGAGGGACAACACTCCAGTTTTTTGTGGAAGTCTTGTTCTCACGAGCACGATCTGCAATAAAAACACTTTTTGCCACAAGGTGTGTAAATTGCACAACAGGGGGTAAAATCTCATCACACTAGCTCACTTTCACAACGGTTTCCTTTGTATACCTGCGAGCGTTGCTGCGTTGCATAAGACCATGGGGTATTTATCATACAATTTGAGATCAACGTCAGAGCTGCTTAACCGGCTCGTTTTTGTGATAACGTTCATAAGCCACTTTTAAATCCATGGAGCAAACACCACACAGGGAAACCTTACTGAATTAAACACAACGTTAAGTTTTGCTTCTCTTCTCTTCAGGGATAAATTAACATTTTGTCACATTCAACCCAAGTTACAATATTTTATTCTGACTTCATGTGATCAGCCAACACAAAGTGGTTAAAACAAACCACTCATGCCTTACCAAAATGCACGAGTGGTTTAGAGGGTAACTTTAAAAGGCAGTTGCACGCAAATGCCTGCAAAACCTTTCAGTTTTTCTTTAAGTAAAAGCTATATCCAACGTGTGGATATTTTTGTTGATCTATCGCAGAAAATTTGAATGATACACTGAAGCTGGCATGATGACAAGTTTAAAGGGCTTTGCAAAGAATAGATGGATGGATTCTGAAGACTTTTACCACAGGTTGAGAGAACATCAGAAATAACAGTGTTGGCTTCATTTGTTTTTTTTTGCTTGGTAGAATATTTCAGATTTGAAATCTGAGTGAGCAAGTACACAGCAGTAAGCTGTTAGGATCAAAACAAGAAGGCTCCTGCTGTGCACACAGACCGTACAGGGACTTGGTGCAGTTCAATGTAGTTGAAGTTAGATGTTTACAGATTCTGTATAAAAATACAATATAGTTATTTTATCCTTACTGTTCGACATAAATGAGACCAAACTTGTCCTATTTAGGGGTGGCATTGCATTTCTCAAAAAGTCAATGGGCAGTTTACTGTAAGCCATTGTTTATTTGGCAGACTTACTTGTGCCTAAGCTTTCACTTCATGACTGATGTCAAAAAGCTGTTTCAATAGTTGCAGTGCATCAATCGTTTCTGAAGCAAACAACATAATGCTTCCACCCTCATTCTTCACATTTGGGAAAAAATGTATCAAACGTGTGGATATTTCAGTAAAAAATTATCTCAAGCCGTGTCATAAAAGGTCTGTTCTCAAAAAAAAAAAAAAAAAAATCAGATGTGTACTCAACTTCATGAAATGCTTAGTGAAAACAGAATCAAACCACCTTATCTTTATAGATAATTACAGAAATACCTGAAAAGACATTATAAGCAAGTAACACTGTAAGCAAACACCATTGTTAAAACTTATTCATCTTTTGTGGAATCTGAAAACAGAATCTGAAGTGTGTATTTCACTCTGCAGCTAATGGGCATATTTTGTGTCCCTTACTTGCATCAGGGGTGAAACATAGAGCGAAACGGTGACTAACATTTCAGGAATCAGGAAGTTCACGGTCCTTTCTTTAAAAGTAATTTTGTATGACCACACAATGATGAGTCAGGACCATGAGCTGCTGCTCGGAATAGGAGCTCATCTGCGGTGTGCCTGAGAAGTTATATTTCAGAAGAACAGCAGGATGACCACAGCCTTTGGGCAACCTCAATGCTGCAAAAGTCTCCAACACATAAATAAATACACTTCATGCTCTAAATACAATGGCTTTATACAATTGAAAAACACTCACACTCTTCCTTTTCTTGATTAAAAAAGTATTTATTGAATCAAAAATGTAGGTAAACAAAAATAACTGTGCAACTCCCAACAAGGAAAAAGATAATAGCTTATAAAAGACTCAATCTATTAGTATTATAAATCAAATTTATGAAATTATCTTAAACTTTCACAAACAAAAAGAAGAAAATACACAATTGTGCATCAGGCTAAAGTCTGTATATTACACAATCTAGAAGTATTGAAACTGTAGTTGAATAAATCGCTATAAAAATGCCAACTGAACTCCATCAAAATTACCCTTAAATATACAGCAGCAATTAACTGTACCTGACTCTATCTTCATTCTAAAGGCGATTAGGTATGAATCTTCTCTAACAGCTGTGCAATGACATTTACTGGGTTCATTACAAATCCTGCATTCCCCATAATATCACTAGGATGGGTGCAGAAAAAAAAAATCCAATAAAGCTTAATTTGAGGCAAAATATAAGTTTTCCTACAGCTTCACTTAATGATCTTGATGAATAGATGAGTCATTAATAGTGGCCTTGTAAATAAAACACAAAACAGTTCTTTGAAACTGTTCCAAACAAAAAGAAGTCTTGAGAAAGCCTGAAAGCAGCTTGAAAGTGAACAAAATCAATTTCTAGGCACGAGGAGCGAGTTATCTTTAGCGAACTCCACCTCAGATCCTAAAATTGTGGATGGTGGCAACAATGACTGAATAACAAAAAAAAAAACATATGCAAGTATTGCCTGTCATCATTTCCTTCATGCGCTTGAAATAATCTTAAAATGCAAAACATATTAAATACTCCATATCTGGAAACATCATCAGACAAGGTTATTGCACTCATTCTACAATTTACAAAGCAGACATTATACACATAACACTGATTCAGCAGCAATGTAAGGCATCCATAGCTTACAGCGGTCAACAAAAAACATGAACAAAAAACAGTAAAAGTAAAAGTCCGGGGTACCATTGCTTTCATTGGCACATTTTACACAATGTTCTATAAGAATAGATTTGAGTACAAATGGCAAGATATCATCAGAAATATCATGGTATAACACTGGATACAACCATTTTCCAACCCGTCGTGGAAGGTCGATCCATCTCATATCGTGGGTGTCATTTTAACTGCAAACATTTCATTTTCTCAGACTGATCCAAATATTTTTCTCAATAATATGCTCTCTATCCAGCTCCTCTAAAACTGCATTGATTTAAGCATAAGACATCAGATGCTCTATATGTAGTCAAAGTTGATAGCTTAAAATAGGAAATCTATTTATTCAACTATTGTAGTGCAAAACCCTTTTCTACAATGTCCAGTGACTCAATCCAGGCATGTCTTAAAAATAATTTGAATGTTAAAAAGTACCAATCACATTCAATCAGCTCCAGCCCTTGTTGCTGTGATTTGGAAGTCACCAGCTCAATGTTGAAGGATCGTTGATGAGGTTTTATGAATAGTTCCCAGCCTGCCATTCACTTGAACAGTCTTTCTGGGGGTCGATACCTATTTGAGGGAAAAATAACATGTCATGTTTGCATTACTATACTATGAGGAATAATGGATTAGTGCCTATCAGTGCACTGGCCCTTAACAGTATTCATATCTCTTTAGTCATGTGCAAAATGGTGCCCCGGACAGAAAAGACCAAAATTTAACTTATTTTGTGTATATATAATGCTAAGTGTGGCTAAAGTATCACTGCATCACTGAAAACCGTCTAACTGAGAAATACTGAATATTGTACCAAGTAAAATCCTTATGAATGTTCTAGAAAATTATTTTTACATTGATAATGATTAAAGCACAAAGCAGACTATCAATATTTCTGCGCTACATTTTGAAATCCATCCCCAAGGTTCATTAATATTGACTGTGAGATCAAACCATCTGAAATCAGACCAAAGTTGTGGGATGAAAGAGGACACTTTCAGCTCAACATGTTTTGTTTTTTTTCTCCTGCCGTTCCAAGATTTCTTCCCTGACTCTATCCTGACTTTGCCTTTTTGTACTTTTATTACATCTGCAAATCAAAAGACAAGAGATATATTTTTTTTTTTGCATGCAGCCATTACAAGCATGGGAAATGTTAGCATATTTCAAACATGCAATAAATGTAAACATAAACCCAACTGCACTAATTCACAGAAAATCATTTTGAAAGTAGTTACAATGCTCAGATAATTTAATCTGCGGCGCAACAGATAGCATGATTATTCATTACCTTTCTAAGTTTCTCAGCACCAGATCCGGAGCGAATTGCCTCCAGCAAAGCCTCCCTGGCCAGGGCAGGGTTTGAGGGGGCTTTGGCATTTAAATGACCCACAGGGTTCGGTTTACCCTGGGGAAAGACAGGAAGAGGTGGTGGAGGTGCAGTCATAGGTGGAGGTGGTGGGGGTGGAGTGAAAGGAGGTTTGATCAAAGACGGAGGGGAGGGGGATAACTCCACTGTTTTCTCCTCCTTTGAGCACTCCTTCCTGAAACGCTCAACTTCACTGGCGGCCTTAGATTTTGTCTGCGAACACAAAAGTGAGAACTTTAAAAAAAAAAAAAAAAAAATCAAAATCACATGACGGAAGTATTTACTCTGAGTATGTGATGAGTAAATACCACATACTATGTATAGCTATGTGGCTTCATTACTCGAATATACATATTTTTCACATTTAAGTTATGACACAAGTTATGTAAAAGAAAGATTTTGAGCTCTAATCGAAATGGTCACCATTTCAGAAATTTTATTGCTGCTGGGAAACCTCCAGAAGGAAAATGTTCTCTTTAGATCAGTTATTGCCAGTGCCGTCTCCTTCTGATCTAAGGACCCGATGACAGCATTTTTATTTATCTGGCATTTCAAGTCGTGGAATTAACTTCTGATACCTATTGCAGCTCTGCTGTTTTAGATCATGTCAGCCGCTCCCAGAGCAAGACGTGCGCGCTCTTTCTGCATGGAAACTGTTCCAAGCACAATGTCGTATTTTATGGTACTCGGTTTGCATAACTGTTACAGTTTCTTGCCATTATATCGTTGCGTCAATTTATTTATTTATTTTTTGTTCTCATCAATGTTGTTCACAGATTCTAAGGTTACAGCAGATCCTTGTTTGTCAGCTAAAGAGCAGGACACAGCTGCCCAGAGCAGCCAATACTCTAGTCATTAGATTATAACAGCCAGGAATTACATATTTTAAAGCTGTGGAACAAAGTTTTACAAATAATTATTATTTCATTTTTTTTCAATGATATGTGTTGGGAGCAAAATTAGCAATGGTTTCCATAAACAATGTGACTAAACATGCTAACATTAACTTAACTGTATTAACTTAATGTAAGAAAGATCTTACAGTGAATACAAGTTATTAAAATCTAAGATTTTGCCAATTTGTAAATGATTTGATATAGATCTAATCAAAAAGCACAAAACGTGATGAATATTAACAAGTTATTAAAACAACTCTTTCTGTGCAAGACTGAAATGCTCACATACAACCATAGTGAAAATGCATAAAAAGTCTTTAGATTGTTTTACCTTTTTCAGTCTATTGATGTTCTGAGATCTAACGGCAGCTAGAAGAGCAGATCTTTCATTGCCTTCTTCATCATAGGCCACTTTCTTACCATTGTCAGGGGTAGGGGATGTCTGATAATGACATAAAAAAAACAACGAATGACATCAGGCTATGAGATGAAGATGTAGCTTAAAATATTAAGTCGGAATATGCAATGACTGGTTAACTGCAGTCCTGTGAACACATTGCTGATATTTGGTAACCAGGTATCTATCCATTCATTCGACGCACCACATTCAGCTTGTCCTTACCTTCCTCAGTCTCTCCTTGCCTCCACCTGTCTGGATTGCTTCCATCAGGCTGCTGTGCAGAGATGTCTCTTTCTCAACAGATTTACAGATGACTGGTTTGAACTTTTTAACAGGTCCAAACAAGGTCACACCTGCCACAGACCCAGGTGTCTCAGTGCTGTCTGATTCTGCAGTTGGTGATTGCAGTTTCACTTCCTTCACTACATCCTTTACTCCCTGTAATATCAAAGTACACTTTAAATGAGAAATCTGAATTAGTTTTCATTTGTCAAGAAATATTTGCAGTCAAAAAGTTACTTACACCTATCTGGTCTTGTGGTTTGGTCTTTGGGGCTATGGGTGGTTTGAAAGATGAGTGTAGAGCACTGCTTTTTGTCAGGCTGAGGGTTTGAGGTTGATTATGTTTAATGTAATCAGCACTGTTGTTGCTGGAGACTTGTATTTGTGGAGATCCGTTGTAGTGACTGGGATTTTTCTTGGCCGTTTCTTTGTCGGCTGGATCCAAAACTTGTTTCTTGGCTGCAGCATCATTTTCAAATAGTTCCCTGCTTATTTTCACCTGAGCAAACTCTCTCCGACTGTCTGATATGTACTCTGGGAAGCTCATAGATCTCTTGGACCAAGTAGCGTTGACTGTGGAAGCGGAGTCTTTCTCCGTAATATCTGACAAAGATACCTGAAAGGGTTGGAGTTCAGAGATTGTTTTCTTGGAACTTTCAGCTTTCTCTGTTTTCAATGAGTCAGGGGAGTCTGTAGTTTTAGGGATGTTTGAAGGTTTAGTTGGGGTCTTTGGGGTGTACTTAGCGAGGGCAGAAGCCACATACTGGCTGGAGGTCCTCCTGGATGGTTTAACAAAGCTATGTTGCTGTTTTCTGTCATAGTGCAGAGGAGGGGGAAGTGAGGGTTTATTACTTGGCCTCTGAACATTGTTGGACACTGAAATCTTGCTCTCCACCTCTGTCAACTCCCTGCTTGGACTCATGTCTTTTCTAAGCAGTTTGTGATCTTCTTTCACCACCATTGTAGTTTCAACTGTTAGTGTTGGTGTTGCTTTCTGGGACTCTGGGTTGCTGGTCTTTAATTTTCCTTCCAAGCCAACAGCAGAGCCAATGCTCAGGACATCTGTGCCCTCCTTAAGTTTATCAACTTGACCTTTTCTTTGAGTCACCAAATTGTCTTTCCTGCTGTCAGAGCTCCAAAGTGCTTTGCCATTTTCACAAACAGGAGTGCCATTGTCAATCTCAGATTTAGGTGCCGCTCTGGATTTTAAGCGAGGTATGCCTGCTGCCACCATATTGCCCTGATCGTCGATCTTAATAGCAAAACGACCTCCTGAGTCAGTTGGCTCCGTCTTGGTGACATTTGAGATGGAGGGTTTTGGAGGGACCACGGTGAATGTTTTCATACCGAAGCGGGATGTGACATTGTGAGTAATTTTACCATGCAGAGGACTGACAGAAGAGCTGATCTGGTTTACTTTATCTGTCGCTTCATCCTTCCCAGGATTAACTGATCTCTGAATCTTTGCTGGAAGTTCAAACTTCTTCTGCTGGAAGGGTCGAGTGTTATGTTGCGCAAGGTCAACTGTGTTCACAGGAGCCTTGCTGGTCTTCTGTAGGTCAGCACTGGATTTCACTGCCAGTGTTTGCGTGTCCTCTTTCACAGCGGTGCTTTCAGCAATCTTCTTCTCTTTACTTTTTTTGTCTTTTGCCTTTTTTTCCTTTTTATTACCTGCAGATTTGATCTCCTGTTGTGCAATAGACTTTTCAGAGGGTTTTGAACTTGCACTGCTTGTTTTGTCGGTAAGAGCAGCTGTATAAGCACTGTTGTTTTGGTTCTGTTGCTCATCATCAGAGTGATGAATGAAGCCTGTAAATCAGACAAAATAACAATGATTATTAACAATTTGAGAGAACATAAAATGGTTACTTTAGATGCTGGTCCTTTGTTTTTGAACTACCTTTGCTGTCAGTTGATTCAGTCTTTTTTGGTGGTTTCACTTTATGCTTTTCAACAAATTCAAACTCCTCCAGTACCTCATCTATGGCTGTGACTGGCACATCCATGTCCACTACAGACACGGGAACATCGCTGCTGTCTGTGGACTTGGTATCAAGGCCATCTTTGGCAGAGATGATTACTTCATGTTCTGAAAAAGAGAACAGTTGTACATCAGAGCATGTGCTCACCAGATTTGTCCTTGGAAAACTATTTAAAGAAAACATTCTTGATTGAGAAATGTCATTTCTGGATATGGCTAATCTCTTAGCTCAACATGAATGGCATAAACAGTTTCTTGCAAAAGTACACCTACCCCTTGAACTATGTGTGCATTTGTATTCACACCCATTTACTCCCAGTGCAAGCAACTTTCTTCTCAAGTTGTCTTATTATTCAATGATGCAAATGTCTGCTAATTATTTTTTTTTTCCCTCTCAACAGGTTTGTTGGGTAATCTCAGTGAATAAATAGTCATAAAGGCCAATGATCACACCAGAGAGGTCATGAGTAAAGTTCTGGCCTAGTCAATGCAGTTCACTATGCCTAGTAAAAAACTAACAGAGCTTATCTGTTAGTTTTGGCTACACCCCATTGTGATACTGGGGCATAGCACCATATTTATTTAAGCAGGGGCAGGGAAGCTAGTCAGTGTTTGATATCTGACCTAAGATTTAAGCCTGGGGTGGAGGTTAACTTTCTAATAGAATAAAACACCTAGATATACAAAGTACAATTATTTTTGATCAAAGCAGATTTACATGTAAGAATAATTCAGTCAAGGTCCCAACCTAAATCAAATTAGAAATTGAAATAAAAAAAAAAAGACGACTTGAATTTATTTTGAAAAAATAAATAAAAAAATAAAACAAGGATTTATGAAGCTATATACGAGACATACTCTCCAAATTTTACAGCTGTTATGTCAGGAAATACCAACTCAGGGTGGCATCGAAATTAGTAAGCAGTGTTTGAAAATGAGTAATGTTCACCCCATTTGACAACTATGAAGCCAATAAAAATACACTGAAGTATGAGACTATAACAAAAAAAAAAAAAAAAAAACACCACTACTTTTGTAAGGTCACATAGCTGCACTGTGGCTTTGTGATGTCCCGTCTCTCACCTGCAAGATCTGCTTCCAAATCTGCCAAAGTCTGATGAAGCTGGATTGTGAGCTCAGAATCATCTTCAAAGCTGTTGACTGATTCTGGATGAAGGCTTCTGACACTGTGCCAAAAAATGAGTGCATATGTAAAATACACAAGACACCTGTAATATGACACATGACGAGTATCGCATAACACATGAAGGATAGCAGAATACAGCACTACAATACAGCAGGGAAAACAACACTTCATGGCTTTTAATTGGACTACTGAGCTCATGTTATGGCTTCCTCTTTGATGCAGTTCATTCACCGCACTTCCTGTTACTGATGTAGCCCTAAAATGTAAAAAGGGTCAGTATAGTTCAGGTACAAGAGAAAGAAAAATCTTGTATTTTATGTCTCTTTCAAGGTTCAATAGGATTTTTTTTTAAGTTTGTTGGATTCAAATATGCAGTTTATTAACTTCATCAATTTTTCTTTTAGGTTCAAAAGAGCGTTCTCCTAAATTAGTGCCATATTAGCCATAACAAATTGCAAAATGAAGGCCAAACCAAATAAAATTTATCTTTTAGGAGACTTGGACTGAATCCTCTGTTCCTCAGTGATTCTGAGAAAACAGTGCTATAATGCTTTCCTGGAATACCAAGAAGCCAGCAGCATTAAGCCAGACTCTGGATTTTTTTTTTTTTTTGGTTGTTTGAGAGCATCATTCCAATATCCTTCGTCTGGGCATAGTACCATACAAATATTTCACAACAAGTTGAAAAATCAACACATCTGGAGGAGAATTTTCCTTCCAAGGACCTTTGAACAAGGGCCTAAAACCATAACCATGAAAGCCTAGCATGAAAGCCCAGCTGAGCAAGCCAGCTTTGGACACAACTCAAGTACAATATAATGGAGCTGTGCCTGGTTATAAAACTTACTGTAGTAAAATTCTGGAAACAAGATGGCCAAAATGGACCACTTACAATCTTAAAGTGCAGGTGTCAGACAAGCCATGGAAATTATTTCAAGCGGTATTATTTTTACAGTATTATAGATTAGCTGGCTCACATTGGGGAATTCCTCCTACACAGTGTTATTGTTAATTATTCAACTGTGCTATTTACAGTAAATGCTTCTTCTAAAATTACAAAGCATACGATTTTAACCCCGGTCCCTACTTTTACACCTCTTTTTCTTATTCTCCATCCACATAAAAGGTATAAAGATTTTTGAAATTAGGTTCTGTTTAAAGTCTTCAGATGACATGTTTTCCTATCCAGGTCACAACTACATTGAGGCATATTTTACTGGTTATAAAAATCTCTACCCCGTCTCTAAGATTTTGTGCCAGCAGGTGGCAACAATGTTCACATTAGTTACATTCAAATTCAGAAGAAGAAGCTCAGTCCTTTTAGCACAGAAAGTTGGAGTTAGCATGAATAAGGTACAAGAACTATTTTTACAAACATACGTTTGTAATTTTGTCAGCAAATGCATTATTAGCACTATATTTGTGAATATATTCCTGTAATGTTTGAACATGTGAAATACATAAAAGTTTATGGTTCTTTTCTTGGGTGCTAGTATTTTGCAACTACAATAGTTTCAATTTGGGTGATTTCAGACTGAATATTCTTATTTTATTGATCTAACATTGCCTGCCGATTTGGACTTTTAACTGTCAGAGGCAGAGATAGATTATTGACTATAGAGTTCTAAAATTGTTACAATAGATCTGAGGGACCGAATTCAAATGTACAAGACTGGGTTGATTCTAAAACCAGAACAGATATTGGAGCAACAGAAACACCCTCTGAATAAGGACTTCCTGTCGGTTGTTTCCTTCTCGATGCAGGTATCTTTTCCCCAGGATGTAGAACAAATAGACTTAAAAAAAATTATTTGTCTCTACAGTTGCAACAATTCTTAATTTCAAATGACCCGATGCGCATTTATCTCTCATGTACGTATGGTATAGGGTTATGTAAGAATGACTTTCTTTTCCCTAATGTGCTGCACAGCAATTAGGAACAATAAAGGAATGATGATGGAATGACTAAAATTGAACTCAGTATAATGCCTTTGATTTTAACCAATCTTTACTGTTTTCTGTTTTCCCTCCTGCACTCCTCCAAGTTCCAGTAAAACCACTCTACACGTTTTCATACAAGATTTTAAAAATATTTGAATTATTTTCTTGTATAATCACATTAAATAACCATTTAAACCAAAGTAACTGTTTAAAACGTCCTAAAATAATCAGAGAAATCTCAAGCTGAGCTTTTCATAACTTTCTGTTTACCTGTGTTTTTCTCCCCAAGAGGTATTTTCTTCATCATTGTCACTTGAAGCCTCCATAATGAGTACTCTATCTCCTGTGTCACCAGTCTTTCCATCAGCTGATAAACTCCCATCCGGAGAAGTCATCTGGGTATCAGACGGGGAACTGACGATGCCAGAGTCCTCGCCCTCTGCCGCACCTTCAGAAGGTGTATAACTTTGGTCAGGAAGGCTGCTGCCAACGCTGCTGCCTAGAGAAAGAGTTTCAGCCTCAGGCGCTGTGGTTTCTTGTTTCTGGACAATGGATGATGCCTTTTTGGAATGAAGCCAACCTGGAGGATAATAGGTAGAGATTATTTGTATGAATACAGAATGTTAAAGCACAATTTTGAAGCGTTAGCCAAGGTTAAATAGAGAGGGAGAAGACTTTCCAGGGCACGCTTTTGTTAAGAAAACATTTATACACAAAAACAATGCCAATAATTCTCATTCCTTATGTATCTCTCACATTCAGAAATATAACCCATAACCCAAAAGGATGAGAAAGGCAAGAGTGTTTTTGTGCAAAAAGGAAAAAAAAAAAAAAAAAAGAGAAAGAAAATGAGAGGTTCTGAAGAAGTGGTTACTGGAATAAGTTTTAACATTTATCCTGACACCACTCACACATGCATGCAAACCAGAGAGCATATGATAAATATGCTAAACATGCTTGGGGCACAGCCCTTTGTGGTTTAATAAAATATTTTATATAATGTGCAGATTGACTTACTGTAAACAAATCCTTTTAATTCCATTTTTAACATAGTCCTTAACTCTTTTTGGTTTAAGGGAAAGGGTGGAATTGCCTCATGCCCTCTCATCTCTTCAGTACACTCATTCAGTTCTGGTCAGTTCTGTGGGTTCTGGGAAATGTATTTAGAGTGTCACTGATCTCATTGAACTGTCGGCCAAGTTAATAAAAAAATAAACGTTCTGTTTGTCAGGCCTTCCGTAGTTACGCCTGTTGAAATGCCTTCAACAGTGAGTGACCTTGTTTTTATCACTGATGTAAGTGAGAGTAAAGCATCACTCTGGACATGCACTGTGATGGAAAAAAAAAAGAAAAGAAAAAGGATAACGTGACCTTGAGTATTTTAATGTGTGTATTAGGAGTGTAAGCTCTAGGCCTTGTCCGAATGTTGAGCAGAGAACAGTCAGTTCCAGGAGATGTGGTGATGACTCACAGGGCTGTCCTCCCAGCTCCTTCCCAGCAACTGCTGAATCATGCCAGTTACAGCCACAATCTGCACACGTTCACACAGAGGGTAACACACACACACACGCACGCATACACTCTACCATTTATGCTTACACACAAGTAAACAGACACACAGCGTTCTCAAATCTTCAGCTCAGAAAGGACCTTGAGTACATGCATCTGTTAAAGATAAACCAAACACGTCTTCACTCTCAAGCTGTCAACTAACTATACACACACACGTGCTATTAGTCAGGACCTGACCATGGCTGTCCATGCATGAAGCCAAGTTAAAATAAAACTGTTGTGGTTCAATTTTCTGTTGTTTAATTACAAAATATGTTTCAAAGGCAAAACATAAGTTCATTGCCATATTTCTACTGACCTCGTAATTAGACATCCTTTTAAAATTTGCAACATACCTCAAAAATTCAAATAAGATAGAGTCCGATACATGAGATGCATGCAACATAACAGAGCACAACTAGAAATTGTAGTCACACTTCACAACAAGTACTGCTTTCAATAAGATAAGTTTAAACAATAAAAGGTTATCTGGAAAAACAAACTATAAAGCAAACTGAATACTCTCATAGCTGTAAACATAATTCCTAGGGATCTTTGCTTAAGGCTGGATTCTTTTTATTTCCAACCAAAATGTCAGATTCACAGCACAACTCAAAAAGTTATTTTTATATCCGACTTTTGAATAAGAAAAATAAAAACAAACAAACAAACAAAAACAAAAAAACTGAGGCACTGACATGTCGTTGACAACTGTGCTATGCATCTTTTCAAATCAAAACCTTTTTGGAGGAGATATTGAAGAAGATGTTCTTATAAAAATAGTCAAAAAAACAGCTTCCTGACTGGCACCAACACTGAAATATGACTTTTTTTTTTTTGCCACTGTTCAGTAAAGGCATCTGAATTACTCAAAAAAGTTAGCTAACATCAGGCACTTTGCTTTTAGGTTAGATTAGGAACAATCTTTGCAGTCAGGGTCGCCAAGTCTTTGGGATGAATTTCCAGTGACAGTGTAGTTTGGTATTTGATTTTTTTATTTGACTACAGAGTGTGATATTTGTCTATTAAAAGTGTCAGAGATAAACTTTTTACTATTGCTTAACTCAATTTGCTATTAGATTCAGATTCACCACTATTAAAGAACATTTAGCACATGCTTTTTCTTATGGTCAATTTTTCTACAACTCGCTACATTTAACTCTTGAATTATATAGAACTAAAAAAAATCTATTCTCTTATTAAATCGAAAACCTATATCAATAACAAGAACAAAATAAAAAAACCAACATGCTTCACATAGATTACAACCTCTGATACCAGGCCCAAGTAAAGCATTTCCTCAAGTTTTATATTTCTAAAGCAATGCATTACACTAAGTACTCAAAGACAAACTGCCCACCTATTGATCTGTAGCTATCACATATCTGCAGTATCAGATAGCTTTGCCTCACTCTCCTCAAACCACATTCTGAGTCCACTCACAACATGCTCTGAACTCATACAGAGTCAAAAGAAATGTAAAACCATGCAAATTATGTATTATACATATTTCTTTAAGACAACATCAAAAACCTCCTTTGAAATGCTAACAAGCTGTAGATATGAAACTATAGCTTTCAACTAACAATATGGGACAGCTTACAAAAGATGTAATAGAAAGTCCAACAGAAATAAGGCAGGCTTTAAACATAAAAAATGAGCTGATGACAGAGGTTTGCCAAGGTGAAGAAAGAACTGAGCCAGAGAAAGACTTCAGGAGAGTTTGGGACGCAGACGCACAGGTCCACAGCAGTACACTACAAAGAGGGAGTGGGGCAGGGAGCAAAGGACAGAACAGATCAGATTAGAGATGAAAGCATCAAACATTAATAGAGATTGTACAGAAACAACAAAACGGCGAAGAAGGAAATTGAATAGAAAATTCTATTTTAGTCATCTGCCACAGTAAGGCTGAGGACATGTACAGTAACAGATGGTGGCTCAGCATCACTCAGCAATCTCCTCCATTATGCATTTCATATACTCTGTGTTACTGAATAAATGCACACAGCAACAAACATTAAAGGCACTTCAACTGATTGGTGTTGACCTTAACTGGACATAGCAGACCCTGAAGGACCAACATGGCTTTGAGATTGACAATCATAGATATGGAGTATCTTGACCTTGTGGGAACACAGCATCACTCACTCATGGGGAGTGAGAAATGGAAAGTGCATTAGGACATACAGTATTTACACACGTGTAAACGAGATGGATAAAAATTCAGACAGAGACGTCCATTTGTATCTCAGGAGAGCAGCTTCTAGGAAAAATAAAACAGAACTACAAAGAGAGGATGGCAACAATCCATGCGGATCCCACGCAGGGGAACTGCTTCTTCCACTTCCATGTGATCCTGTGGGGTCATGCAGTTTGTAAGCACAACTGGAGGAGGGGAAGAGTACACGAAGGAACAGATAATCTAGAGGTTAAGGCAGGCTGTTTTAGCTCTCATATTACGAGGTTACAGCCCATTTCTCAAAGTCAAAATTCCATACTTATCCACAATCAAATATATGAAGTTGGAGGACCTTTTAAAACCCATTTTACCACATTTTTCCAAAGTTAATAATTAATTTATGGGTGATGTTTCTCCATGGGTACTACAGTAAACATGGCGCCTGAAATAAGACAAGAAGGGAGAGGAACAATGAAAGAAACATGGGGACTGATGGGTGGATATAAACTTGTTTTAAAGACAACGTTTGGGTAGTAGTCCACTGGTTAAACTGTCTTTTTTTGTAGCACTATACTTTTGAGGATGGGGCCTGCTCATGGCCACACTTGCAAGATGAGGAATCTTTTAATAGTCAGCTTATCCAAGTGAGAAACAAAGAACAGCCAGTCCCTCCTCTATTATCTATTCTTACTGAACAGGAGGGGAGGATTAGGGTTAGGGCTACGGTCAGTTTGGGGTTCTGCAATTTTGCACATTTTCAAATGTTTGTGTTGCAGTAACCAAATAATAGAAGTTGGAAAAAAAAAATAAAAATAATGCATATGATACAGTTTGATAGATATTTATATCTAGAAGCCTAACGATAGGAAGGTTGAGAAATTTTGCTTGGCATAATTATCTCCCATTTAAAATTTCCACAACAAAAGTATGTTTATTTTAGTAAATTGAGGGAAGAAACCACAAGCATTTCACTAAAAGAAAAATAAGCTGACAGGCAGGATTAACTGAGCGGTAAAAACCTAATCTTTGGAAGCATAACAGAGCTGTGACAGGGCGCTTTGTTATAACTTGGTGTGAGTTGATGTATGACAGCATAATAATGTGATCACCATATGAGTTAATGAAGACAATCACTGAGACATGTATAATAATGCGTACACCAAAGGGACACTTCAATGAGAGACTAGTTTTAACATGATGTATTATTATTCCTACCCTCGAGCTTGTGAAGATTAAATGATTTGAAAGGGAAACTTTTCTGGCCTCTAGGTAAAATTGTTCTTATTAGATTAATTTATGTTTTCAGCTTTCTAGCACTGTCACTGCGCGTGTGCTGCATGTATTTAATTTGCTCTTACTGACAGAGATATAAGATTGGCACCACGTTGCCGTTGCACAAGAACGAGATACGAATCAGGTGTGTCAGTTCGCTTCGCAAAACGCAGCCAACTTTCAGACATTAAATTTGCTTTGCAATGGCTCGTTTAAGTGAGCCTCACTCCTGTTTTGCTGCTCCTATGGCATCTTGTGAACTCTGCAGTCACTGTTTGAGAGCCCAGTGCCAAGGAGACACACAAGTCATGATTGTGCTTTGTCCAAGGAGTGGAACGAAAATACAGCCCCAGTAGAAATGCAAGTATTACTCCTGTGGGATTTCATAACAGGGTAAATCTATCTTGGGTACCGACGGTTAACAGAGGATAAACAGGTTTAAGAAAAGTGACACCAAGGAAGTTAAAAACATGCAGCAGCTAGTTTAGTGAAAGAAAAATACACTTGCTAAAATGTGCACTATGTGTTACCAGCAAACAGCAGATCAAATAACTGGGCCAGATTTAAAGATGGCAGACAATTTCAATAAACTTGATTTTTTTTATGACATATCATAGAGAGGACACATGAAACATGGTGTGCTGAGAGAAGGAGACCAGCCTGCAGAACCAATAGATTAGCACGATTCAGTACAAACTTGCAGGAAGCAACTACATTCAACTTATGTTCAGACCCTCGGATAATGGGATGTATTGTTTGCAGTTGAAAGTACAAATTCAGCACATAAAAATGCAAGTATGAGACAGGTGTTATTTTTGATCATTTCTTGAACAACATCCCTGAATTCAGCTGCATGGCAAGTAAAAGAACAAATTCCAAGGCTATGTGCCCGTTTCCTAAAACAATGGTTATATTGAGTAAAAACCCAAATAAAATGTGGTGACTATCCAAGTCATCACATGGCCAACATGTTGGTTACCAAGTTAGCATTAAGACTACATGCAGAATGGTGGACCGAAGACACCATCTGATTTCCAAATCTGCTGTACATTTGTGTAGTAGGAGTACAAGGCAAGTTGTCCTGCTGTTGGCCACTAAGATGTGTTACTGGTGCTGCTCCTCTTAAGTGCTATTTGATCATCATCATAAGAAATATAGCTTTATAGATGTCATTACAACAAAAGAAAAAAAATATTTATCTTTTTTTCGATAAATATAATTAGAAAAGACAACTTTGGCAATGTAATACCGTATATGGATTCAGTAATTATCTTGACTACCTCTCATTCATTCACTTATAAACTAGTCATCTCATACTTCAACCTTACATCTGCTTTCATCTTCCTTTCCAGCAGCCCTCTTCTTCCTTAAAACTCTGCCAGCCTCGGTTTTTCTGCCTCGTTACCCCACCATTTCTGTCAAAACCTTCCCACGCTCTCCTCTCTACGCTTTTGGCACTCTCACCTCTTCTCATCCGTTTTGAGGCCCGTGCATCTCTCATCTTTGCCCCTGTCAGACACGCCAACCCTCCGCTGCAGTCTCACTCTGCCACTGAGCATATTCTGGGTTACGTAGAAGTCAATAAAAGATCATCTAAAGGTCAGGAAATATAAATCTGACAGATTTATCTACATGCAAATCTGCCACGTCTTTGAAATGCTGAGTGATTGCATGCATATAAAAGAAAGACAGAGAAAGAAAAAGAAGGCAGAGACAGACAAAGCTTGAGAGATTGATAAGCCTGAATTCGAGACAAGGACTCCATTGTGTCAAGAACTGCGATTAAAAAAAAAAAAAAGAAAAAAGTTTCACAAGTAGTTATCAAACACACGCAGGCATACAAGTCTCCTTTCTCTTAGCTGGGTATATACGTCACCTCTCTGACAGGAAAAGAGTCAGATGTTTCTACAATGTGACAGCTCAGTTCTGCAGGGCAGACAGGTAGAAAACTTCAACTGGTGACTTGTGACTGCCTCACAGTGTTCTTGCCACGACTCTCCAAAGTTAAGTGAGCGCTACCTGAAATTTGTTATCTTTGTTCTTCAAATAAATCTTGAATTTACAGTTTAACAGGAGTTCAAGAATAACACTTTGATTAGGATTTCTATTGTTTTTCTGAGAGCAATTTAGAGTCATAAAAGATATTTACCCATTCCGCTGTGTCTGTTGTTCTCCACTTCATCCAGTGTGAGATTCAGCGCCGATTCAGAGTCTGACCTGGAATTGCTGTCAGAACTTTTCTCTACTTTTTGTTGGGTGGCTGTCATGTTGGATTTTTTTATTGAAAGCTGGACCTGCACAGGCCCACTGGCCGTGCTACTGGTGCTGCAGCGGGAACCGGCCTGGTCAAGGTCAACATCTGAGTCGTCAAGGCTGCGGCTAAGCTCAGAGCTGGAATCCTGAACAACCAGGCTGTCTGTGGTGCTGCTGCTGGGGGACGGAGAACTTCGGGGTGGGGTGGCATCGCGCACGGGCGGAGGTTTTGGTGCCTTTTCACCATGAGAAACTTCTGCTGTCTGCATGACCACAGAGTCATCAGAGAACGTGGGCGATTGTGGTGTTCTGGTACGGGGGACTGGGGTGGGAATTTCAATGCTGCGGAGATTGGAAACGGAAACAACAGTTGCTGAAGGATCATCAGAGTCCAGAGCGCTGGGGGAAGGTGTGGGTGGAGGAGGTGGAGCCTTTCTCTTCCTTTGGCCTTCTGAACTAGGGCCCTCCTAACATAAAAGAGCAAAAAAAGAAAAAAAAGGTAATGCAAGATACCTTATGCAAAAACCTTCTTCATACAGAGTCTTCTGACAGTATTCATATGGTAATTTTTCACATTTTGTATAAGACCACCAAAAACGATGTATTCCATGGGATTTTATGAGACAGACAGAACTGTGAACCATAATAATGGAGAAAAATGACGATCATAACTTCATTTTATGTTGTGATTTCAACTCCAAGACTTTTGAAGGAAGTCTCCACCAACCGCCTCCACTGAAAAGAAGCAACTCATGATGCATTTTGATTCCACCACCATATTTCCCCCATGAAGATTTTGCATTCAGTTTGATGTGCAATGTTAGCATATGACACAGCATTTTGCATGTAGGCCAAAATGTCTTAATGATACTCTTCTATTTATTCTAACATCAAATTATGCATAGGTGGACTCTATTGAAACTTTAGCTGATTGAAGTTTTACATTTAATGTATAATCTTGGCCTTTTCAAGTAACATTGTTCATACATGCTGGGAGAGTTGACAGTGTTAATGGTTTATGTTTACTACTGTTCTCTAACAAACCTCTGAACTACAGCTGTCTTTTAAGGACAGCTGTAGTTCAGGTACAGTTAATTTACATACAACGGGACTCTGCTTACATATTCGTCCTGAAGGTAGGTGGTTGTACTGAATTTTGTAAAACACTAAATTACTACACCCAACATAAAATTCCAGTAAAATAAATCAAGTTCTGTCACTGTAATTGAAAAATGTAGAACGATTTCAGGATAAATTAATAGTTTTGCAAGTCACTGTGTATGTGTCTGGTTTGAGCATTAATCATTTAGTAAATTCAGCCCGTCAGGACTGAAACAATTTTACAGCCAAGTAATCAAATTGAGTGGAGTGCTGGCAGAGGCCTGAGTCTTTTAGCCATTAGTGTGTCAACATTCCTCTTCAATTCAAGACATTTAAGGTCTCCCAGCAATTCATTTAAAATTATGCTGTGGTCTTGTAACAGAACACCAGTATGAGCTTTTAACTGAGATATTAAGTTTAATCTGAAAAGCGAATGTTGTTTAAAAATTAGAAAGGTATGTTTTCTTTTATTCAAATGACAACCTTGTCCGGATTCATTACATGCCATACATCAATAATCCTGAGTTTAAAATGATATTACAGCCAATGTGCTCAGTGAATGTCTCAGACAACAGGGAACGGAGGTTGAAGTGCCAGAGATACCATCATGGGAGGACAAGCCTCTACATGGGATGTACCACCAGCAAATAACCAAAGAGGCTGATATTAGTAAATCCTACCAATGGGTGAAAAAAGCTGGACTCAAGGACAGCACAGAGCCCCTCATCCTGGCCGCCCAGGAACAGGCCCTAAACACCAGAGCAATAGAGGCCCAGATCTACCACACCAGACAAGACCCAAGGTGTAGGTTGTGCAAGGACAGTCCAGCACATAACAGCAGGGTTCAAGATACTAGCAGGGAAAGCGTACATGGAGCGACATAACCAAGTGGCAGGCATATTGTACAGAAACATCTGTGCTGAATATGGACTGGAAACCCCGAGATCAACATGTGAAAACCCCCCAAAGGTGGTGGAGAACATCAGAGCTAAGATCCTGTGGGACTTCCAGATGGTAATGGCGAACCAACCAGACATTGTCGTAGTGGATAAACAACAGAGGAAAGCCGTTGTGGTAGATGTAGCAATACCAAGTGATTGCAACATAAGGAAAAAGGAGCACGAGAAACTGGAGAAATACCAGGGCCTCAGGGAAGAACTGGAGAGGGCCTGGAAGGTGAAGACCACAGTGGTGCCTGTGGTCATCGGGGCCCTCGGGGCAGTAACCCCCAAACTGGAGCAATGGCTACAACAGATCCCAGGAACAACATCAGACATCTCAGTCCAGAAATGTGCAATCTTTGGCACAACCAAGATACTGCGCAGGACCCTCAAGCTTATATATTTATATAAGCTATAAAAAGTTTGGGATGGGTTTGTTCTATGTGAAAGCAAGTGGAAATGTAGTTAGTGGATAAAAAAACAGAAAGCGAGAAAGAAAAAAGTTCTGAGTCTGACAAAATGAGTTACAAATGAACTAATTTACTCCACAGGGAGACGAAGCCATTCTCTTTCTACATGAGGTCAGTGCTAAAAGATTCATTATTATGATAAGACAGGCTACGATAGAATAGATTTTAAATTTCCAAGTAACTCTTGCCTTCTATTTTTTGTTCTCTCTGAAACTCAACAGACAACATGCCCAGAGTTGCACACAGGGTTGCATCATTCATCAGGGCATGAAAGAGATCAGGCCACCTTGTCTTTCTGCAGGCACACAGGGTTCACACATGAACTCAGTGAACCCGGGGCATGGCATTCTATAGAAACTCGAATGTCCCCTCCTCGTTCCAAATAGCTGTCCTTTTCTTCAAGGCTCTCCTGTTTTTCTCCTACCCCAGTATTCATATATACATGGAGATGGGCCAAAGTAGAGCTGCAATGGATGATTGACTTGCCGTGGAAGATGGATGTGTATGCGTGAGAAGGCCCATGTGTTGTTTGTGTGCATGTCTGTCTGGGTGTACATGAGTGTATTTATGCATCTATACGAGTTTGGGTGATTGTTTTCTCTACAGAATAAAAATATGGGACTGCAGTGAAGCCAGAGTCATGAAAGGAATACTTCCAGGGGTTCATCTGACAAGTAGTTGGATCTCATTTATAATCATAATGATACTCTTGGCTTGAGGTGAACGGCATAGATAGGATTGTTAAACAGCATTAAATGCGTGTTGCTCTTTTGAGCTTATGGCGCCATGACTGGGAATGCAGCATGCACTTATGAGTAGGGAATCAGAGATAAGGCTTCAAGCTATATTAAACCACATTTACAAGGCAATCTTTAGCCTTAAAAAAAATTCACTGCAAGTTCCAAGTCATTTTTTATGTGCTAAAAGTTTAGTTGCTAAGATCAGAATTTACAGATTTTTATTTTTGATCTTAAACTGACTTCCCCACAAAGATGCTCTGTTTAGTTTCAGTAAGAAAAAAAAAACAAAACATGCAGAACTATGATGCTTCAAAGAGAAACCTCAGAGACAATCTTTACATTAATGTGAAGAACAAATAAGAGAAAATATAAACACTAGCTATGTTAAGAAAATACCAGCCATTTGTATTCCTTTGGCTTTAGAATGAGATTTTTTTAATTAAAAAAACAAAAAACAAAAAAACTCAATAGTTTATATATTAAATAAAAGTGTTTTATTTCATAAAAATGGATGCTTAAACCTGGCCAACCTACCATTCATCAGTTGCAGATAAGGGTATTTTTAACAGAGCAACATTACAGCACTATTGTGGAATGCAAATCTTAGTTTGCATACTTATTAGACATTTTATTTGTGTGTGCTTGGGCTGGTCTACATGCAGGAGCTTACTCACAATTGCACGAGTTTGTGCAAATGCGTGTACATGTCAAGGTAAAAATAGAAGCCAAACATGACAGACTCCACTGTCATAAACACCCCTCAAAGCAGCAGGCAAGAAGACAGCTGCTGTGCGTTTCAGTGTCACTGTTATGATGAAGATGTAGGGTTGTGAGTGTAAGATGAAAGACGTTCCATGTAAAAAGGTTTTAACAATGTGTGTCAGTGAGGAACGAGGGTGGGGGCAAAGGGTGGAGAAATGGATCAGGAGACACACGGCTGATCCAGTTTTATTGTTGTCCAACCTGTTCTACTAACCCACTGATATTTCAAGTTTTCTTACCCCTTTCCTTTCATCAGCAAGGAAAGATAATTACATTTATTTGCAGACTGGATGAAATTACAGGAGAGAGGCGACTGAAGCAGTAATTTAATTTAAAAGTAACAAAATCTGTAAAACACAGAAAGCATAATCTTTGTCATTTATTGAAAAGTCAAATATAGTCAATAACTCTTCCAACGCAAAAACATTCTGTTTAAAAAAAAAAAGAAAAAAAATCAAATTTAGACAAAACTCTAATTATGATTACAGTCCCAGAAATGCTCAAATAAAAAATTAAGCCTCAGTTGCTTTGAACCAGACACAAACATTCACGCGTTTCATTCATTTGTCCAATCTTCACTGAATGACTTCATACATAGCATGTTTGGACAGCTTCACGTCCAAAGAGAATTTGTCCTACGCAGGAGGGGCCAGGTTCCTCTAATCCCGGCCCCTTCCTCGTCCTCTCTCAACCGTCAAGGGCTATGCACAAGAAAAGAAAGCGCATACTGTTTTCTTGTAATGAACCCTAGACTTCTTTTTCCAACGCATTACAGAATTCAGCTTCACAATAACCGAGCACAACAAGAGGGTTCGGGTTTAGCGGCTGGTAACACACAAAGCCCCCCCAAACTCTTCTCATTCACCTGTTACAGGTGGTTTCTTGAAAGATTAGATATTTCTCACATCGACACTAAAATAATGGCATAGGGGTAATGCTGTGGCAATACATTTGTCTGAGAAAATGTGTATAAAAACAAAAGGGAAATGGACCATCAAACTTTTGATTGAGTTTGACAGTACATTCAAACTCAGACACTTTTGTATGACTGAAACTTAAAACTTTTTTCTTTCTTGTCACTTTTTCTTTATCTTTCAAACAAATAAAGTTGTCAGATCCAGAGAGTAATCCACCTGAGATGTGGATCTCAACAGCCACTCCGTATTTACCATTAGCTCTGACTGATGCTCTCTTTGCCAGCTTGCTAGCATGGAAAGCCACATCCTCACAGGTTTGCTTTCAATTTTAAGAAGATAGTCTTAACATTGCTCAATGAGATGATGTTTACTCAAGATGTTTGAAAATCTTGCATCTTTTATTCCAGTTCAGTCAAAGTTTGGGATTTTTCTGATGCAAAATGTCAAAAAAATTGAGGGATTTAAATATTTTTGGAGGTCATTGTACTGTACATCAGTACACAGAGACAAACTGTATCCTAAAGAAACCTACTGGA